TACTTTTAATATCATTTGTAGTTGACAGTGGTACTTGTAATATCATTTGTAGTTGACAGTTGTACTTGTAATATCATTTGTAGTAGACAGTTGTACTTGTAATATCATTTGTAGTTGACAGTGGTACTTGTAATATCATTTGTAGTTGACACTGGTACTTTTAATATCATTTGTAGTTGAGAGTGGTATTTGTAATATCATTTGTAGTTGACAGTGGTACTTGAAAATGATAAATTTATATGATTATTAAAATACAACGACTGTTATTGTTTTAGTTTCCTTTTATTAATACGGTAAACGTGATATTATTGTTGCCACCAAAATTCGACATACATTTAATTAAATGCAACGTCAAACTGTAACTCATGTATACTTGTATGTAACAGCAGGACTGTTACTAGCTTAACTTTTTATGTCTAGAAATGATCACTTGTTTTATCACATGATACGTGCTTGAGTAAATTGTGTAAATATTAGACCAAATAAATACAAGGGGAGATTAGGCTTCGGAAATCACGACATGAATAACCTTTTTTAATTCTAGGGCGTGACTTACTTCGATTTTCCAAGTAAAATATTTGTAACAATTCACTGAAGTAAAATACTATAAATAATTTCACATCAGCGTCGATATCTCGTGATAAGAGTGAAGTTTGAACTTATTCTTAAATACTTACCTTTATGAGTGGTAAATATGGCCGCTTCCCACTATGAACGAATCGAAAAGAAAATTATTCTTTTAATGTATAATTTTAGTTTGAATTGGGAAGGAGAATTGTGTAACAGTTTATATTTTCTGTTCGAATAATCGCAAAACATGTCAGACCATACGAGGTAGACCGCTAAAATCGCATAGAATCCAGTAATAAATCTTGCTAGGCAATACGTTTGGACATAAAATGAAAAGAAAACAAAATCAGTATTTCATTAAAGTATTTCACGCACTTGATGAAATATTTCCGTTAATCAAACGTTTCAAGTAAATATCCTCTTATATAATTATTGTCACTTTCCTGGATAGCTGCAAAATAATATCTAAATCATGTAGTGAAAATAAAATAGAGATTAAAAGTAAAAATAAGCAATCGTCTCGGCTCAATTAATTGAATTGGTCGTAATTATCTAACGATACGGGTATAGTACCAGTCTTTCAATGCCATCTTTTCACAGCAAACGCACTAAATTCTGACGCTAATTACCGTTTTTGTAACCCCCCTACCGATTTAAATAACTAAAAATGTTAACTTAATAAAAAGTGCACAGAACTAAGTCAATTGAATCATCAGATAACATAATGACGTAGTTCATCATGTTGGGTTAGTACCGGATAATTCCGTAAATTGACATAACGTTGAGAGTTTGGAATTATATCTCTTTGCACACATGAACATATTTTTTTAGAGCGCTTGTTGAATCCATATGAAAGGCAAATTTGTTGTTGTCATTCTTTTACTTTGCTTTATTCGACATTGTAAATATCGGAAGCAGGCGACATATGTATGCATTTATGTAGTTGTGCACTCAACCCTTTGCTGAAAATGGACTTGTCTAAGAACTGGAAATGGGTCTTGCACATGTCTGTCTATTATATTGAAAACTTATGTTAAGCATGAAATGCGCAGACGATGACGGTATTAGGGCCATTCTATACATAGATTAGAAAATATAAATCAATGAATGAATTGACAAAGTTCCTTGCACTTTTTATCACATTTAAGTTTACAATTATTACAAACGGTAGGTGGTACAAACAAACGGACTGATATAATAGTGCTATAATAAATGACATGATATGATATGGTTTATTCTGTTCGCATATAAATTTATCTTGGCATTCAAAATCACTTTTACAGCGCAGAAGTAAAATTGCATTACAGCAATATTATTACCTCTATGTATTGAAGAACAATCGTGTTACAAGAATTTAATTTCTTTTAGGTACTGAAGGGTAATTTCATTACAGCAATAGATTTTCATTTAAATTAAGGAATATCAATTGAATTGTTTTATCGTCTTTTCGTATGCAAAAACTATTGGATTGGATCTCTCCTAAACAATATCTTTTCATATACATTTCCGAACGAGAGTCAACAGATGTAATAATTAAAGAAGCCGTATAAAGCATATCAAAATACTGACAGGATAGTTGCGAAACACAATAGAAAATAATTAGAAGAACATAAAGGAAGAAACGAAGAAAAGAAAAAAATAAAGGCTGAGAAACAAAACCCCCAGCTAGAATGACTTTCTGCGCATACAAAGAAAATATTAATTGACAAATCAAATCAAAGACTTTCCTGAACATAAACCTGTGTATGTATTCATTAAAATTTGGAGAAATTCAGCTGAACCATTTCAGAATTTGATGCTAGAAGCAATCTAATAAATCGAATCACAATTAGTTCTCTATTATTGTCGAATGGGACAGATAACGAAACAGAAAAATGAGTTTCAGCCAGGAATTTTTCGAAACAATAAAGGTAGTTTGTTAGGTTCGCTCTGTATCGATCAGCTTTTAAACAACTAACTATATCTTAATTTGGTTAAAACAGTGTTAACCTTTCTGCAGATTTAAGTAAACTATTGAGATAACTATACAGTGTGTGTGTGTGTGTGTGTGTGTGTGTGTGTGTGTGTGTGTGTTTAATTGCTTAATAACGGGGAATTACTGCATTCTAAAAGAAACCGTATACATTTTATTTGCTTGCTTTGTTTTTATTATATAGAGTTTGTACATTTTCCTGCAGTTCTTAGAGATGATGACTAAATCTTTAACCATTTTATATTATATTTGCTACCCTCTCCCTTAACTGAGACATTAATGTTGCATCATTTTGTCATTACCCGTTCTGCTTTAGGGAATTTCCATTAGACCTCCATTTTCATGTGTCAATGATCATTAATACCGAGTTAGGATATCCAAAACGCAGAGCAAGTGTGTAACATGTTTGAAAATTGTAACAAAGGAACTATTAACACATTTCCATTTATTAGCATAAAGTCATTGCTCGCAAGTGTGATTTAGTTCAACTGTTCAAAGGAATGTTCAAACAAAAGTACGAATTCATTTTAATACAAAGATGAACTTTGAACATTTGCACATAATCCGTATCTACAATCGGTAAGTGGACCAGATTTTCTAAGGATATTCCACTCGTCTAGCTGCCTAATAGGCAGTTTGGATGACCTTCCTCTCTCTCTCTCTCTCTCTCTCTCTCTCTCTCTCTCTCTCTCTCTCTCTCTCTCTCTCTCTCTCTCTCTCTCTCTCTCTCTCTCTCTCTCTCTCTCTCTCTCTCTCTCTCTCTCTAACGAGGACAACAGATTTTATCATCATTTTTAAATAGTAACTGAGAACTGAGATCTGAGATTCCGGATGCACAGCATGAACTTTCATTTTTGGATGACTGTATGCAGTTTGGACCAGTTTGGCGAGAAATCAGATAATTTTTGTTCGGTCTGTACAAAAATACTATTTAACTAAATGGAATAGATTTTACGTCTTAGCTAGATAATATTAATTATTTTAAAATTCACCACAGTTCATAATATTTATCGAGAAATAAAACAGTAAATTAAACATTTTATTTTGTTTGGCTGAAAAATACGGCAGTTGCTATTTAAAAATGATGATAAAAGTTTGTTATCCAAGTGCTTACGGCGCAAATGTTTTATATTGACTAAATATAGTAACTGCAGTGCGTTTCAAATTGGCGCATGAGTTATAGTCAAATGGGAAATGACTAACCAAATATAAAGTTTCCGGATAGTAAAAAAAGTAAGTAGTTTCTTTTGTTCCATTTCGATCTCCGATACGATAGAAACAAATGTCAATAAAGTAGCTCCTATTTATATTACTGTTCCCTATTTCCTAGCTTTGAATATGTGTGACATCATTAAAAGTGTTTGATGAGGAATATACAAATATTTAAAAAAACGTTTCTCGTTACATTAAATGCTATCCGTCGCTAATAAGAAGTTCATATTTGAAACATTCATGACATTTCTGAAATGCATGCCTACATTTGGCATACATCTGTTATATGAAGAAAAAGGAAAGAAGAAGAAAATCGCGCGAAAAGGTCTTATGATATCTATTAAAAAATTAAAGAGATGATAGAAGATTGTTAGAATTTATTGTTTGCATTTACGTTTGTAACAAGTACATTGTAATAAGCCCATTGTAATTATCTCATTGTAATAATTCCATTGTAACAAGCCCATTGTAATAAGCCCATTTTGTCTTTAAGCCTATTGTAATAATCCCATGGTAATAAGTCCATTGTAATAAGCCTATGTTGTCTTTAAGCCCATTGTACTAATCCCATTGTAATAGCCCTTTGTAACAAGCTCATTGTAATAAGCCCATATTAATTATCCTATTGTAATAATTCCATTGTAACAAATCCATTGTAATAAGCCCATGTTGTCTTTAAGCCTATTGTAATAATCCCATGGTAATAAGTCCATTGTAATAAGCCCATTTTGTCTTTAAGCCCATTGTAATAATCCCATTGTAATAGCCCATTGTAACAAGCCCATTGTAAGAACCCCATTGTAATAAACCCCATTGTAATAATCTCATTGTAATAAGCCCATTGTAATAAGCTCATTTTGTCTTTGGTCATTAGATCAATCTGTGCTTACGTTAATTGGGTTAATTTTGTCTCATGTTATAAGTTCTTTATTATCATGCTCTCATCCTGATTTTAATAGTGACAAAAAGGTGAATGATAAATATGTCCTTGTGTGTGTGTGTTTGTTTGTTTGATTGTGATTTGGAATGTTAACATGGCATTAGGAATCTTCCAGCCATATTTCTACGATATCTGCAGTTTGGCAGTTTATAGCAATGTCTTGCACTTGGCATCATGCCCCAGATATGTAGCAAGATGTCCCAAAATGTCACGCCTGACACGAGACCGACCACTCCCACCACTAACCTGTTAATGCTGAACGCCAAGATAGGCAGCTAAAAGTACCTTTTTTGTAAGTCCTTGGTATGACTCGGCCAGGGTTCGAACCCGTGACCTCCCGCATCCGAGACGGACGCCCTAACCACTTAGACCATCCAGGCGGTGATTAGAAATGGCGCAAACGTCAGAAGAAAAAATATTAGTTCAATACCAAGCATGTGCTTGAGAAGTGTTCAGACCTACATAATTCGACCCTGCTCAGTATATTAAAACTATGTGCGGCACCAAATGTATCTTGTACACTCAGTTATCAAAACACAGTAATACATCACAACTAGCCAACTCCACAAATCTAACCCAACGCAAGTCTTTATGTCATACATAATTAAAGAACAGACGCCTAGCAATGCTTCCGTTGTAATATAAAACATTCCCGCGAGGCAGCAGTTGTATTGACGATACTTGATTTATGTCAAAAGGAAATTTTGTGGTGTTGAAGAAAGCTCACTGTATGCAGCCCACATATTTTTTAATATACAATGGTCGTGAAGTACGAATATACATTAGATTCACAAAACATTATACTCTAATTACACCTTTCAAAGCAAAGTGGAATTTCTGTTTTCTATGTAAAAATACGTTCATGCAAATGGAACATTGTCTTCTGAAGATGCAGGGCATTGCTGTAGTTGTCTTACCTGTATAAACATGGTAATGGTGTATTTAATAATTGAAAGAACTGCTTAAATGGAAAAGAACATGAGAACTCATTTTAAACTGCATTAGCTACAATATTAACTTTAACTTATTCCCTCTCATTTGGTGAATTGCAGATTTCTTCTGCATACATAGAGATAATAAATATCGATAATAACACAGAGAAATTAGGAGATAAGGGGTCATACTTAATGGGGGGGTCCCGCATGTGCCATTTATCCAGTGATACGTTGCTTCTGTATACACGTCAGTGGCATGTCATTTCTGTTCTTTGAGGGTAATAAATTAACCGCAATTAGTTGTTAATAATAGAGTATAAATTTATTTTAAAAAATTATGGAATTAGCCGGTATGAGTATTCTAAAATAGCATTAGTGGAAAAGATTCTGCAACTTAAAAAATTATTTTTTAATGGCTTCCTGGACTTCGCCACTTGTTACAATAAGATGGGTTTTGAAAGAGATATTTGAAAAGGAAGATTCCAAATAATGATGCTAATATTGCCATATTGATTAATGTTGAATACGACACCTATAGTTTGCAAACCGAATTCAGAAGAAATATATTAGTATGCTGCTTCCCTATCATTAAAGGTGTTCATTTGTTCTAGAATTGCTGAGTTTCTTTTGCATGCATGTAATTCGACTTTGTACCACTAACAAATCGTTTAAACATTGTCAACTGAAACAAGAATCAGGCAATGGGAAAACAGTGAATTAGCTTGCTATTGTTAATTTAGTTATAAGTTGAATCAATAAGTCAAACTGAATCAAGATTTTTGTGGAACGATTTTTGTTAAAGTTAATTTTGCCAACAGACACAATGAGCTTTGATAAAAGTAATGTTCAAAATGTATCTTCTCTGTTTGGTTTTTTAGCATGCCCTCTTTTCCTTGATGTTCATCAAATACATTGTTTCCTTATCAAGAAAGTGTGTGTGAGTGTGTGTGTGTGTGTGTGTGTGAGAGAGAGAGAGAGAGAGGACAGAGAGAAATACTAAACTATTTTTAAGTATTATATAATTATAAGGTTATGTAAGGACTGAGCTTCATTTGCAATGCTTCCAGACATTCCAACTTCCGAATAAGTGACAAAAGAACACATGGAAGTTGCAGTGCATTCATTCTCAGATTGGTAATTACTTTATTCAGATTACTCTTTATAATAAGTCAGAAACATTATGCCCGGTAAGCTAGCTCTTTCATTTTGTTTTGCACTCAGTACCTTAAATAATGTTTTCACTATAACAGAAACCTTCTACAACATCAATAAAGTATCAACAAAATGTGAAGAAAAATTAGTGCATTTCCTCTTTGAGACTGGCTTGAAACTAGAACATATTACATGATATTCACGTGCAAGTAGTTTCACAGAATTTAAGAATATATTTAAGTATAAAAGATACCTTATGAAGCAAAGCATGAATAAATCAATTTATATTTTGGTGTGCATTGTATACAATTATCCAGCAAGAAAACAACGTAATAAATATTCTAGTACTCATCAGTGCTCTTTCAATATAAGACATGACATTTTATCTTTCTCTCCACAATGAGGTTAATGATCTGTTGTTAGTGTAGAACATAAGATTAAAGTAAATTCACATTTACATCATAACTGCATGTTATCTGTTCGCAGCTTGCTCATCTAGCGCCTTATTCCTTAGAATATGAGTCATGGAGAGAGAGAGAGAGAGAGAGAGAGAGAGAGAGAGAGAGAGAGAGAGAGAGAGAGAGAGAGAGAGAGAGAGAGAGAGAGAGAGAGAGAGAGAGAGAGAGAGAGAGAGACAGACAGAGACAGAGAGACTTACCGTATCTAAATATTCTTGAATGCTATAATTCTGAATTTTATTTAATACTTCCATGAAATTAAAGTTGCAATAAGTATCGAATGAGCACTATTGTTTGTATTCCTACGCAGTGCCATGTCTTTGAACTGTCATTGTTCATCTTCATTTCGTAGCCGGATCTTCCTGTGTTTTAGTTTCTCTTGCATATATATCATATGATATGATATTTAAACCTTTCAATAACATAACTCTTTGCCTTATCAGCAACATGCAAGATCCTTGCAAGGATAATAATTGAATAGAAACTGTAATCTAAATGATGTTTCTATAAAAAAAACTGCAGCTAGAAAAATGACAGCAAGGTCTGTTTCCTATCAACAAGTTCTTGTTCGAAAACGTCATAACACGGAATATGAATTGGTTTATTCAGAATGCTCTCTTTGGGACTAAAGAAGCAAATATAGTCGAGAATTCGAGAATATATATCTCCCTACAATTATCTGACGCGTAGAACCATATGAAATACTTGATCTATTACAAAACCCTCTGGTGACATCACCTAGTTATCGAAATCGAAAAAATTCAAACTACTTTACTGCATTGAAATGTAAAGATCTATCAGGTGCAAGAAATTTCAACAAATTTAACCATGTTCTGAATGCCTCAGGCCAGTAACAGAAAACCTATGCAATATTAGTAAGCTTCTTAACTAAATTCTCATAATACAACGCACGTTCTCTTTCCAAACAAAGATCATTTGAGAATAATAAAATGAACGATTGAAACTTCATAATATAAGATAATGATAGAAACATATAAATATCATCATTATTATAGGATTATTGATTACAAACCGTACCTAATCACTCATACAGTAAATAAATTCCGAAAGACTTAATTTTAACTTTGTGAATGATTAGGTAGCAAATTGCACTACGACAACAGCTATGATTAAAACAAAATGACATATATTTTGAAGACGGCTTGTAAGCTTTCAATATGAATTATGTAGCAAAAAAGTGAGTGTTGGAGTCCATGAAGGGTTGTATGATTGTACTGTTTTAATTGTGTGATTGAAGGGTTGTGTGATTGTACTGTTTTAATTGTGTGATTGAAGGGTTGTGAGATTGCACTGTTTTAATTGTGTGATTAATGGGTTGTGTGATTGCACTGTTTTAATTGTGTGATTGAAGGGTTGTGTGATTGTACTGTTTTAATTGTGTGATTGAAGGGTTGTGTGATTGTACTGTTTTAATTGTGTGATTGAAGGGTTGTGTGATTGCACTGTTTTAATTGTGTGATTGAAGGGTTGTGTGATTGTACTGTTTCAATTGTGGGATTGAAGGGTTGTGTGATTGTACTGTTTTAATTTCTGATGGACGATTTTAATCAGGACTGGAACTTTTGATGGTAAATAACTTGGTGGGGGTGTTCTTATTGATAGTATTTGTATAGTGTAAGGCATTAACATAGATAAAGCTTCACTTGACATGACCTGGAAACTCTGAACCAAAAAGTAGTCCAAAGGATTTATCGATGTGGAAACACTTCCAAAACAGTATTGCGTGACCGTTTATATCTAATCTGATTGTAGACAACAGGCTCGATTATCATAGCTCAATTAATATTGGAATTATTTATGTATATATTATGACTATTGAAGAGAAAGACGAGAACAATAGGGAATACATGCATGAATTCATGATTTAAAATCGTTCATGGTGTTTTTTAGTTGAATTCAATACGCAATAAGCAGGTGTTGTACATTATTTTAAAATGAGGTTAGAACATTGCACTAGACCTGGCAGTAAACAATCTAATCATTCTAAGATCTGCTATGAGGTTGTTTATTACTTCCACGTCATAACTATTAACATACCAATATGAATTATACGCGGAACACATAAAGCTGTTTACGGAAAAAGGAACTATTTGTACATTTGTACGACAATGCTTAAATCTAAAATCATCCAAATTGATACGATATATATATATATATATATATATATATATATATATATATATATATATATATATATATATATATATATATATATATATATATATCGTACTCAATCATTTTAATTCCATGAGTGAGCACTCGCAACGCTAAGTGCATTTGTCTTTTAAGATTTCTGCATTCCAAGAGCACTCATAATGTTTCTGTTTCTATTGGCAAAGCACAACATCGGCTTTTTTGCAATAACCTAACATATTTACAGTATGTACCCATCGATAAGAGCAAACAACAAGACAAAAGCAAAGACTTCAAATTGAGATAAGGATAACTAATAACGTTTTCTAATACAACAGTAATATCAATTAATATTTAAAATAAAAGTAGCACTAATATATTTTTATGCAAAAGACTATAAAAATCTATCAACAATATATGGATTACGGTTTTGTTACTTCGATATGAATGCATGCAAGTCTTGTAAACATGGAAGCATTTGTAAATAAATTTTAAGTGGTTTTAGTGTAGGATTAATATCGTCTTATTTTGGCAAGGGATGTCATAATTGATTTATATCATGTCATACAAAAATATGATATTCATCCTTCATATGGTTTAAAGTCCAAAACAATTCTATTCTTTTCCGTGTAAGTCTTCAAACTTTCCATAATCAGTCATAACATGACGTACACAACCAAA